ATGATTAGGGCTGGGAAATATGACGTGAAAATAAAAGCTCTTTTTTTTATTGAATTAGATATTTTGGGGGATTTCTCCCCTACCTCTTAACATCCATCCGATCGCCTGCGCTCCACAGCCATAAGCTTAAAAATAATACCAGTTAAACTGTTACCAATATAAATGTGTTACACTTTCTTAGAAAGCTTAGATTCTCCACAGTTCAACCACCAAGTTCATTTTATGGTCACCATGAGCACCAAAGCAAAATTATTAACGATATAACAGCATATTAAATCTGAATTTTTAGTTAGAGTGGCTCGGGTTATCCTGAATGAAACGGTCCTACTGTTTTGTTATTTAATGGGTCACATAGTTGAGTAAAAGCATTTGGAACAATTTGGTGTTATGGTCTCATAACTAAAGCTCCATTTCTGCAGCGATCGCTATGATAACACTGTGAATGACAGAGATTTGGGATCTGCTGACAGACCAGGATGTTTGCAGGCTGATGTTAGGCTGATTTACAGAGAGTGGAAGATAGTGGGAGATGTTTCCTTTACTGTGAATTTATTGATTTCTTGTTCTTCAATTACGCTGGTTAAAAGCAGAAACTATGTTCATGTCTGTTGAAATTATTTACTGAACTTTGCAGTGACAGTTATAGACATAATATAAGAGCAGACCCTGCATCCATTGCTTTCTCCTATGGGCGCTGATGTGTTTGGTGGCGCCATCTTGGGGCGGTCAACAGTTCTGCTCAGTGTAATGTGTTGAGAAGGCACAGATTACATTTTTATCAACTTTAACTCACTCAATACTTAACTAATTTTGATTTTTTTAAAAATATATATATATTCTTAGTCTGGTTAAGAGTCAAAGAATATTCTGATAGGAGGTACTGTATGCATGTTGCAAAGCACAGACACCCATAAATTTTTATAATTTTTTTATTACTATACACAGAAACATATTTATACAGGTATACACAAATATATATATATATATATATATATATGAAAACACAGTACAGTACAGTATTTTATCATATATTATGTGAATGTTTGGTTTATACTGTTTTATGTTTTACTTATTTATTTTTTTTCTTTACAGCACCTTGGTCAGCTGTGGTTGTTTTCAAAAGCTTAAATAAAATTATAATGTTTTTTTTTTTACTCTGTCACTTATTCTATTATTTTTATGCACTTTTTAAGGTCCACATTTGTGTGACCAATTTTTCCTGGAATCTGTTGCTGCTGTAACACAACAATTTACCCACTATGGGACCACTAAGGGGAGTTTCTATTCTATGTAGTGTATATCTGCTGTTTATTTAGTAATGTCTTCCAAAGCTCTGATGCCTTCATGAAGTTCTCCCTCCAGCCCTGATGTCAACAGTCTGTTGATTTAAACAAAAATACGCTGCAGTGCTGAAGCATCCTTCTGTTTTGCTTAAAACAGCAGGTAAGAATAGCAGGTCGACCTCTCCAAGATGGCGCCCGTAATGTCTGCGCCGCTTCATTCAATGCGGGGCCTACTAT